AGACGGTGTGCGATGGCCAAAAGTGATTTTAAAATTGAAACCCAAAGAGCCACAAACAAAAATAACAGAACTGCTGTATTCAGACAGCGGCACGTTTTGCCATATAACGTCAGAATAAAAAAGAAACAATAAAAAATCAAACAAGAGGGAACTTCTCATATGGCGGCAAACCAAGCCATTCAAATGAAGTAGAAATAAAAGTTGTAAAAGTTTATCTCTGGGTCTTTGGGTTTGGCTTTCGAGGGATTTGGCTCTTGATTTGGTTATATTCTTTTTTTTTTCGCTGCCTCGGCTGTTTCTGGTGCTAATGAGTGGAGTTTTAGTTTGTTTTTTGGTCCGTGTCCGGGCTAATAAAATTTATGAGGTGTTTTGTTATGTGTTAAAAATTTTCTGTTCTCCGTCTTTTATCCGATGTGGAAGCGTGCTTAAAAGGCTTGCATGTGGCTGGTCCAAATGACGATTCATTAGTCCGGGCTTAGGCAAATTATATGATCGATGTCGGGCTGATTCCCTGGAAATCACGTAAGCCCCATTAAATAATCACCGCAAACAGGATTGACAAGTTTTGAGTTTCATCTTAGGGCCCAAAAGAAATAAAGAGTTTAACTTTTTCTCTTCCATAAAAATCTACGATGCGAAAGTGTCAAATATTTTTGTTTATTTCACTTGCTATGCCCTTCACAAATTACAATAATTCGTTGGGACTTAAAGGCGCCGCCCAAAATTTCTATGGGTCATCATAAGTTATGACCAGTTAGATGAAGACGAGCCCCCATTTAAAAAAAAAGGTTATGGGTTATGGGAGAGTAAGTAAGTTTCATAATTGCTAATTGCATTTTTGTGAAAGTTTTTTGGGGAAATATTATTGGACTTTTTAGCTAAAGAAAATAGGATGCTACGCCCAAAAAATTAAGATTTCAGTAATAATTATTATCAACAAGTTCAATTAGTTAGAAAATATAATATTAAGTCATTTCTAATAAGCTAATTTGTCTTTAAAAACCATTTAGTTTCTTCAAATAATGCCAAAATTATTAGCATATTTTAGCAAAGAATTACTTAATCTCCGTCTCTAAATTATGCAATTAAGTTTAGCATTTGCGATCCATAAATCTCAAATTATAAATCTTTTTCAGTAGCTGACAGAGTACGTGAGTTGAAATCCCATTATGCGCTACCTCTCTTAAGTGGAATAAATAAATTCTGAGGCGGCTGACCAATTCATAAACAATACCGGGAGGTAACTGAATATCAACTTACTGCCCCGCAGATCTCGGCACCTCTCGTAAATCCGAATGTGAATTGATATATCAGAAATGGTCCCAGCCACACCTGACATCTTACACACAACTATGTGTGTTGTCGCCTGTAATATAATACCCGAAGATAACGTGGCCAGAAAATAATAATAAAAAACAATTTTGTATGCCAAGAGCGTAGCGTAATAATATTATTTAGATGTTCGTTGTGTTTTTTTTTTTTATTTTTTGTATAGCCTGAGGCGGCAAATTGCAAAGCAATTATTCGAATCACACGTTTTGCGGCGGAGGTGGCGAGCGAAAATGTTTTGCATCGTTGCACCTGAAAAGGTGTCGCAAATATTTACAATCCCAGCTCTCGAAAGCGATGATGATAATTCTGATGATGTCATTTGCCCCATTCATTAGGGCCATAATGAAGATAAATTTGATTTTCTATCTTTCGTCGCCTTTGTTTTAAGCTTTGCTTTGCTATTTGCCAAAAACTTTGGCTCCGGTTTGGGACAGCGACTACATATGCTTTGCGGTAATAAATATAAATCTGATTTTGGCTTTTTGCAGAGAAACTGCAGAGCTTCAGCAATTTCATTAATATCCAGTAAGTCACGACGAAAAGTATATTCGTTTGACTTTTGTTAAGGAAACTATCAAAATGAGTAAACATTTTGAGAGTCTAGTTTTCAAATATCCATTCAAAATATTTAAATAAAATCAATAAATGTAAATTTAAAAAATATAGGGTACCATATGGCCTTTACTTCTCATAATAATATTTCTACTTGCTTATTTTTTTTGCCTTTTGTTCAACTCAATTTTTGGCAAGACTTTGTGGCGCCGGTCTTATTTTGTGTATTTGTTTTGCTTTCCAGCTTGTTTTTTTCCTTTCAATTATTTTGCGGTGATCAACAATATAAACATAAAATTGGCGCAGTGTAAATACTTTACGTACAAGCAAAATAAATAAATAAATTGACTCGCATAAGCGGAAAATCAAAATCTGCAATGTTGTCAATATATTTACTATTTTTTTTATATTTTGGCTTTTTCTGTTGACTTTGCGCAATGGCGCAAAAAAGCGAAATATTTATAATTTTGGTGTTTTTGTGTTTCTCTGTCTAATTTTGCCACCTGCATTTTGACATATTTGGTGGGTTCGGTTTCTTGGCTTGAATTGGCTCGTTTGGCTGGCTCTTGCCAATTTTTTGGGCAATTGATGAATTGGTTTTGACCAAATGCGTTACCAGTCAACAGCCACCCCAATGGCAGTCGGCCGAAAGGGTGTCTCGAATTGGTCAGAAATGATTTATTAACGTGCTTAGTTGTTTATGTCGACTTAGGCCAGCCGCTTTTGGTCAAAAGCAAATTTGTTATTTAACAATTTCCAATTTCCAATGCAACGCGATCCATTGCAATGCGATGCGTGTAAATGTTATAAGCCAATTTGACAATTTTCTTGTTCAATTTGTAATTCCAATTTTACAAGCCGAACAACTAACATTTTGATATAGTTATTAGATATGGTCGCGGATTGTCTGATCATTTAATTGTTCGAGGTTTTATATGACTGAAGCAAAAAAATGGTTGTTAATTTAGACATGGTTGGAGTTTTTATATTGGGTACGTTTTTATGATTATAAAAATGTCAGAAAAATTTTAAACACAATTTACTAACAGTCAAAACCATCATCATTTATGCTTCAAAGACTTTTCATAAGTAGACAATTGGCTATATCCTTCTTCACTCATTTTTCCCATTATCTAACTTTTTCATTTCCATTCTTACATAAAACACGTGCAAAAGAACACAAAACGAACCCGAAACCACAAAGCAAGAGCCTAACAATAAGAATCATTATCAAATAGAGGAGGAAAGGAAAAACAGCGGCAAAAAATAAACAAAAATATCATAAATAAATGTTCAAATAAAATGGCAACAATAACACAGCCATGGTAATCAGCGGAACAACAAACAATGGGCAGCAAAAAATCGTAAGAAAATAAAACGATTGTTGGCAAAGGTTTTTGACATCAGAACGGTGGATAGCTTAACGATTATAATAAAACCATTTTGAAAGCATTTAGATTGGCTCCTGTATTCGGCTTTCAAGCTTTGTAAAGCAATTTGCAAAGGCGGTAAAATAAATTGCTCGGCAGCAATGAAAATCCATATATATGCAAATTTCTAATTGCTGTATTTTGATTGAATTATTCCCATCTTTAAGTTGTATCTATTGAGCAGCAGAGTTGATTCATTGAGGATGTTAAAAATTAAATGGAAATTAACATATGGTTCTTCGAATCTAATTACAGCTGTTGGCAAAAATATTTATATAAAAGAGGTGGCATTCAAAGTATCATATACCAATATAATTTGTTGTGGTAATAATGTAAAGATTTAATTCAAACTAAATGTTTTCTGAAAGTAGCCTGAAAACGGTTGAAATACTAATCCCAATCCAATCACTTTTACAGACTTAGGAGCTCATAAAATAGGCTATTACCTATCACCTAGTAAATAGTAAATGGGCTTGTTGAGCAACTCATATTACGCATTCTGTGTACAAACAATAAAGCAAAATGTGATCTGTGTTGTAATACCCTTGTAAACTTTACAAATAATCAATGCTTTGTTAACGACTTAATCACATGACCGTGATGCCCAACTATAAAAATGCAAATATAAACCTTCGCACGGCAAACGACGAAGAATTTCAAATAGATCAGAAGAGACATTAAATTTTAAATGGTATTGACATGAAAAAATGTTTTCGGTATGATAGCTACTCGAAGTTTCAATTATCTTCTTAAGATATTACATTTAACCATTCGTAAATTAAATATACATATCGTTTATTTTTAATAGAGACATAAAGTATTATTATTTATAAACAAAAAATGGTTTCTTTTAAGCCTATAAGATATTTAAAGTCTATCCTATCTAAAGAAGACTATTTTATTCTGTGCACGCATTTGGAATTATCGTTTTAATGAAATTATAATAGAGTTAACGGATATCCACTAAAAACTCCGCCAGTCCAGTTTTGCGTAATGGCAAAAAAGCTGTTTTTGTGTGATTGGAAATTGGCTGGGACTTTGGTCTTCGTCTCGGGTTTTCCTTCTCCTGGGGCACGCGTGCCGCTTTGGACTTGGAACCCAATTGGCCTCCACAACCCACTCCCCCCGAACTTATTCAATCTCGGCTCAATTGTCTGCCTTCTTCAGCTCCAACTCCTCCTCCGTGCCAAATATCTCGGGGAGTATTCAAAGCACGCGCGTTTACAAATTGAAAACTTGTTAAGTGCCAGACCCGACTTGGCCAAGACAACAGGTGAGCCGGGCCTGAATAGTTGCACTCAACAAAATAAACAATCTATTTCAACTGAATACAGGTCAAATAGATTTATCAAATCTGTATTATCTGTTGACTTCGGGCTCAAGTCGAAAAACATATAAAAGAAACAATAAAGATTATTTGCTTTTGATTTATCACTTGTCCGGACAATTAAATGCCATAAGCGTTTGTTGCTTTAAGTTAGTAAGTAATGTGTTAAATCCTATTCAAAGTGATTACACATAAAATAGATTTTCAAAATGTTACTCATTCTTTGTTGACTTGCATACAAAATTTTGCATTTTGGTACCAAATATAACAAAGAATCTTAGTCTATAATAATAATGAGTATTTATTTCAGTGTGCCTGTTTGTTACTTAAATGTTTGCCTGGTTAGTTGGCCATCTCCTGGCCCGTTGACAGATTTGTGTTGCCAATTTGCGTTGAAGTTGACGTCGGAGGTTTTCTGAAATTCGCTACCAAAAGAGTGGCGACTCCGTATCTTTCTGGCTGATAGAGTTGTTGACATTTGGCCGCTTTGCTTGTGGCCCAAAGTTTATGCAAATTTCGACGGAGTCAAAGCCAATGGGGCACGGCACACACCCACAACATAATGGTAATATACATACCTGCAACGAAAAAGAACAAATAAAATACATTAGAATGTTATAGATACTTTTAATGATTATTTTGTGGCATGGAAATTGGGTTAACGCATTCGGTTCTTATTTTTCGGTAAACATTTATCGAGTGTTGACTGGTCTACCTGGGCAATTGCTTTGATTCTTTTCGATTCTTCGGAAAACATAAACATAATTTTTTCGGTTTCCCCTGCAGCGCAATTGACCCAGTTCTCTAATCGCTGTGCACTTTGGGGCACACATTTCCACAGTCGATTAAGTGGCCCTGCACTTTGCTCTCCATACAATCACAGTCGGCGAGTTTCGACTTAGGAATCGAATTCGGAGCTGGGGAAAATGCAGTTTGCACTTGAGCAACACTCGAGTTGCGTCTAAACAAAACGTTTCCTTTACAAAAATATTTTAAGTGCATTGGAAATGTTTTTCTTTTGAGTGGGAGAAGTGATTGTGGGCGAAATCATATGGCCCGTTCAATTGGAGTTATGAAAACAATTGAAGAGCCAGCATCTTAATTGCAAGATAATATTATTCTAAATGGGTATTCTTATAGGAACATTTACAAAGATTTTTTTTTACAAAAGTGAAAGTCTATTTGTGTACCTCAAATGAGGTAAACATTGATTGACTATAGTTTAAAAGAGAAAAACATTAATATTATATATTTTAACCCTATAACTTTTAACTTATTTACCAACCACAGAAAATCTATTGCGTATTCAGTTACTAAAACTTCTACTGCAATCGCTTGCAAATCACAATTCATCATTTATGGCGATTTCAGCTTATCCAGTTACACAAACAACTCGCAGAAGGAGTTCTACAACAAAACCACTCGAAGGCGGCATTTACATTGATGTGCGAGCACATATAAACGGGTATATAGGGGGAATATATATATATTTGAGAAGGGCCCACCGAGGACTGGGTACAGTGTGCCGTCGACAAAGTGGCCTGTAAGTAAACCCAATTGACACTTGAACATCGTCAGTAGCCGGCGGTCTAAGCCATCAACGTGGTGGGTTCTCCACGGACACGGATTGCGTCCATGCCATGGTGGTGGTTACTCCTCATCCGCTGCCCTTCCTCCCACTCGTGTCCATTTTGGGTTGACGTTTTATTTGATTTTACGCTTGGCTGCATTTTTTTGCACTCGTCTCGAATCGAAATGGAATGGAATGAAGGGGGGGGGAGGGGTGTGGAGTGGACACTCGATATGCATGGGCCTTGGCCATCGATTTTCAAGTATGCTCTATGATGTGCACTTTAAAAAATGGTATTATCGTCTAATATAATAAATTTAATATCCCTTTTTCGGTAAATTAATAACAGACTATTGTGCATTTTTTCATAAGGTTTTAAGCCTCTTATACTATATTTACTATTTGTATACCAGCATAAAGCAATTACTATATTTTTCCCAAGTGCAGGCCCTTTCTTATCCATATTGCCATCTCGATTCCTAACTCAACTGCTGCATAATTTATAACTATGACACTAGCCGGAGCTAGAACAATGCCCCAAGATTAATGGTCAAGGGGATGGCGTGCATATTGTGAGTGGACAGGATGTGTTTGAGAGGATGACACTTTGCTTGCACTTCTGCCATTTGGAAAATTCATGGAAATTGCCCTGCAATTCCTGGCCGAAAAGTGTCTCATTCATGTTTAAATGACTTGAATATTTCAGGAGTAGGTAGTACGGATAGCATGACGAAGTAAAACCCGGGGCATCACTTAGTTGGACACGTAATTTACGGCCTGGGTATTCGTACGACTTCATTAGGACGACTTCCATTCCAACACCTCACTGCAGTCGCATTGTCTAGGATTGTCTGTCAGATGAAGGTGTCCAGGAAAGAACCCACTCCGCAATGCCCTGTTCTGCACTTGACATTGTGTGCTCTGTGGTGCAAAATAAACTAACAGGATTATTGCGGCAACTGCTGCTCCTGCCTTTTGTAATCCTTTAATGCCGGGTCAGGACGGGCTCTTTACCCTGCTGACATCCCCGCTAACCTTAGGGTGCCTTCTTGTGGCAATTGTTCGCCAGCGACTCCATGTGTATGCAAATTTATTTACATTTTGTGCTAAAAATATACTTTTTTACCATGTACAAAGGGAGCTAGGTAAAACAAAGGAGAGTGAGGTGGGGCAAAGAGGGGGGAACGTGCAACACGCCATCATGCACAAGGACAATGACACCAATCGCAGGTAAGTCCTTCTTAGCCGAAGTTTAAATTGCTTCCAGGCTTTTAAACGGGGAAAATGTTTGCTTTAGAGCTGGTGAGCATTGACAGGAAAATCAGATATTTACACTAGGTAAAAGTGTTGATAATTCGTATAATAAAAACATATCACGTAAATAATGGTTTTCTTTAAAACTCATTTAGAATCGAATGTATATATTAAATAAGAGTTAGAACTAGATCTTTAATGATTAATTAATTGACAGAATTATCTATATTAACATTACTAGTTAATTCTTTAATAATTCGCTGTATTACTAATCTCGACATCTGAATTTTTGTACTTAAAACTTCTGATCGAATTCGATTAGGAAATGTCCAATTAAATTCAAATCGATGTCAGATTACATTTTATTACATCAGATTATCAAGTAAATTCGCAGCATGTGATCTTAACTCGAAACGAAAAATCTTCGACTTCAAAAGAAATCAGATGAAATAAAATAAAAACCGGAATAAAAGCTGAACGGTTGCCAAAAAAAAAATTAAGTCAGTTGTTGTTGCTCCCAATTGCATTTGGATTTTCCATTCAGGAAAGAGTCAAGGAAAATATTGTCTACTCATGGCGAAAAGTAAAAATCGAACAAAAGCTGACAGCAAAAAAATGCTGAAATACACGAATAAGAAAAAAAAAACACTCACACAAGAAATCAACGAAAAAATGTAAATGTGCCACGATTTCGAAATATGCACAAATGCATTTAATGGATGGAGCATGCTGGATGTAAAAATAGAGGAGCTTACAAAAGGGAGCACTGCTCGACTGAGCGGATATTTATACACAAAGTCGGACGGGGAGTCTGGGGCACTTGTTTTAATTTTATTTTCCAACGGATTGTTGATTTGCATTCGAAGTTCTCAACTCGAATTGCTCCGATTCGGTCGGCGGCTCTTCCATGGAAATGTGGCACGTGGCATCAAACAAAAAAAAAAAATAAATTCATTTCATGCCACATATCCACATAGCCCGCATGTGCATCTGCATCTGCTCTTCTTTCCCCTATTTCGAGTTTTTCCGCGCCTAGGCATCTGTTTTACATTCTTGACAAATTAATAATAATTACGCTTTCCAATTTACATTAACTGAACTTTTCACTCGGCCTAACACGTCCCTTTTCAAATTCGAATTTCTTTTGGTTAATTTTGATGGATTTGCTAACATTTTTTTTTTTTGACAGTTTTGGTTGGCGTGATGTGGGAAGAAAACTGAGGAATTTAACTAACATGAAAGGTTTTTTTAGTTTGAAGATAAGGCCTGCATAATGGTTGAGATTGGCTTCGGTTGGTAATTTGTTAAACATGAAATACCCAGTTATGCGGTATACCCAAAAAAAAGGGTAATAAATCAGAATATTCATTTGAGACTTGAAAATTGAAGGGTTAAATATTAAAGTGTTTTTAAATTTTTGAGTAATCTGAAATAGACTCAGCTTTTAAAGGGCACACACAATTAAAAATAACTAAGCCCGCAAACAGTTTCCCAACTGGAGCCAACTTAGTTTAAGATGAGCATTAAGTACTTAAAATGTACATATTTCTTTATCCTCTAAACCGATCCTAGGACTGCCTTCCACTTGGATGAGTGGCTTTTGCTCCTGCAAAGTTATAAATTACCGGCGAACGAGGTGGGCGAAACGCGATTTCAATAGAATAGAAAGGGGTTGAGGGAGGGCAAATGGAGGTATCCCCCAGGCATTTGGGGGTCTAAAGTACTTCCATGTGGTTCTGGCTCTATCGATATGCATCTCGGCCCAAAACCGAAACGATCCGAACTGAACTCTGCAACTGCAACTGCAATTTATACCACTTAAGCACTAAAGTTGCACCATTAAAGCCAAAAAGGCGTTAACCTGACTCCTTCTGCGCTGCATAAAAAATGCAAACGAGGCTGCTGCAAATGTTTTATGGGCTTCTGTTTCGCTTCTACTCGACCACAACCGCAAAATGCAAAAGCAAAAGCAAAATAAAAAAAAAAGCTGGACAAAACCCGGAGAAGCTAAAACGTTTTGGCCAAAATAAACTGATGGTGCGGGTCGAGAAAGAGGATGTGCCCTTATCCTGGGCACGTTATTCCATTTCAGCATTTCTATGCTTTCTTTCTTTTTTGCCAACATGCAAAATGTTAATTCATTTCACTGGTCCTGAACCGGATTTTTATCAGGACGAACAGGAGCTGTTCGTACAGGAATAACTAAGGAAAATGTTGTCTGTTGTGAGACTAGAATGAGGGCAGGAAAAACACTTCCGTTTCCTCTTCCAACAAAACGTGGCTTTGTGTCCCAATAGACTGTTCATTAGGTTTGGACTCCTGGTTAGTTTTTCCCCATCTGTACATATATTTTATTAAAGCCCCTTTATGGTATTTTTTTACTTCACATGTTTAAAAACCCATCTATCATATGGGGTGCTCAACTTTATAATAACTGAATTTCCGTCATTTAACTTCATTGCACTTAAAAAATATTGGCTTTTAATAGCTTTGCTGCCCCGGGCAGTGCGCTTTACTGTGGGCGCTGACTTGTTGAAAAGCTGCCTTAAATTAAATTATATCATATTTTATACAGAATATTTGAAGCTGGGCTGATTAAAAAAGGCGAAAATAAGGGGAAAGCTAATTGACATTAATGAAATGGGGCTCAAATTAAATTTGAGCTGAGTAGTCATCAGTTTGGGTGCTTAACAAGCGGAGTCTCAAATTAGTCGAGTTACCTAACCATGGCTAACCAGAATTATTAGGTGAGGT